ATCTCATGCCTACCTTGTGCGAAGAGCTTTAGAAGCATTGTCTCAGTTAATCCTCTCAACAGTCCTGTGAAGTAGCTTTATGTCTATTCTACAGATGACAAACTTGAGGCTTCAAAAGGTGAAGTCGCAGGTGTAAGTCATACCTATGAAGCTAAAACAGAAAACGCAGAATTTGAACCTGATAGGAGTCTGGAGCTTGTGCACTTGACCATTCTATTATAGGGGGGTCACGACCCCCCAAATCTGTCCCACATGCCCCGATCCCCAAGTCCATGTCCGGGTTGATGTCCCAGGTCCCTGCATTCTTATTTCCTACCTGAGCATCTTGGCTCCGGGACGTAGGCTGTACCCTCAGTGCCCCCTCCCCACCAGGTCTGGACTACTCTGCAGGGATGCCTGTGCATCCACGATCCTAGTGCATCTGGAATCCAGAATCCCGGGGCCCAGGACCCCAGGCCGCTCAGGCCCTGCCCCGCCCCCGGCAGCGCGCGGACTGACTCACCGGGGACAGCCAGGCCCTAGCGACGTGTGCTCCGCGCGCGCATCAAACAGCAACCGGCTACCAGCCAGAGGCAGGGTGACGTGGCCGGAACCATTCGCCCCCTAGGGTGGGGGGGACGCCGTACCGGACGCCCCCTGGAGCTCCCCAAAGCCGTTGCGAGGGGCCTCTCGCGCCAGCCTGGGGACTCGGGTGCGTGTGCGCGCGCTCCAAGCCTCCCGGGGCTGCAGAAGCGCAGGGAGCGCGGCCGGGGCGCGGGTGGTACGTCCCCGCAGACTCCGCCCCTTCCCGTTTCCCGGCGCCGGGGCCCGCATGGCGGCCGGAACTCGCCCGGCGGCCGGACCGCGGTCCAGAACTGCCATGGCCCAGTGGAGGAAGAAGAAGGGGCTCCGCAAGCGCCGGGGCGCGGCCTCCCAGGCCCGCAGCAGCGACTCGGAGGACGGCGAGTTCGAGATCCAGGCGGAAGATGACACCCGGGCCCAGAAGGTAGGAGCGCGGGGTTGGGACGCACGTTGGAGCCCGAGCCCGGGCTCCGTGCGGGGTCCCGCGGCCTCAGTTTCCTCAGTTGTGGAGTGCACACGGCCGAGGGTGGGAAGAGGTCAGCTGTCTGGGGGGTCAGGGCAGGTCGGCCGGCCGGAGCACGTGTCCCCAGGCCTGTCATGCCCCGGGTCCCGAAGGCTGGAGCCACCACGTTCCAGAGGCTGGGGCCTTCGGGCCTTCCTGGCCGGCGTTTGGTCGCGCGCACCTCATTGGCTACCTCTACCCACGGGGCGGGTCCTGATTCCTGTTCGTCCAATGAAAAGTGCTGGTGCTGAAGATCTGACTTTGAGAGTTTAGGGTATTCCTGAGAGAGTGAATTAAGGGGAAACCGGATCCCTTAGCTTAGGACAGTGACGCCCCCAACCTCTGCGAAACTAATAGTAACAAATTAAACTTGGATTTGTCGACCGCTTACTCTGTGCCAGGCTCTGTGCTAAGAACTCCACGAGCCTTTTCATTTAATCCTCACACACCAACCCTGTGAGCTAAGTATTTTCACCTCGTTTTTCCAGAGAAGGAAACTGAGGCCTAGAGGGGTAAAGGAACTTGACCAAGACCACACAGCTTGTGAGTGGGAGAGCTGGGATTCAAACCCGGGACGGTCTGGTTCCAGGGCCTGTGCAATTTCCACTACTGAGTGCCAACTGCATGCAAATGGGGAGGGAGGGCAGGTGTGTGAACACCAAGGAGGCAGAATTGCTGTAGCCCCTTATTCTGCACCGCCCTGTGCCCAGCTGGTGCCTGGCTCAGAGGAGCTCTGGGTAAGTAGATGAAGAAATGGGTGTTTATATGAAGAGAGGGGTCTGCACCCTTCCGAGGCTGGGACCAGACCTCATCCCACTGTTTCCCTGGCTGAGCTAGTGCCTGGCACACAGTAGGTGCTCTGTAAATGAGAAGAAACTCCTAACGGTGATGGACAGCACAGGAGGAGGGCAGACAACTAACGTGCCAAAGAAGAGTCACGTGTGCGGTTCAGACCCAGGGCTTTGTCCGAAAAGCCCTGTGTTCAAATCTGGCTCAACTCTCTACTGGCTGTGGGACATGGGAGAAGTTGTTTAACCTCTCTGAGCCACATCTGTAGAAGGCAGAAGTTGCCATTTGTGTAGAAGGCAGATAATTATACGTAGAAAGGGTTAAATGATACCGTCCATACATTCTGCTCGTTCAGTAAGTGTTGCTAGGGCCCAGATGTGTTCCAGGCACTTTGATGTCATGTGTCTAGAGGAGAGGTTGGCAAACTTTTCCTGTAAAGTAGGGTACCAGTCACAGCCTAGGGGTTGGAGACCCCTAGTGTAGTGGGCCTTAGAGCGTCACAATGGAAAGAACGTAGACTCTGATCCCCCTCTCGCTGTCTCTGTCACCTTGGGCAGGTCAGTTGATCTCTCTGTGCCTCAGTTTCCTTCCCTGTAAAATGGACAAGATAGTGGTGCTTACTTCCCCGGTGATTGTGAAGATTAGATGGGTTAATCCAGAGCAGCGCCTGGCTTAGAATAAGTGCTGTGTAAATTCTAGCCGTTATCACGAATTAGTGCTCCATACATGTTATTTCTGAGAGGAAGGGGACAACCCTGTAGTCTGAGAAGGCTCCCCAGAGGAGGCGTCTGGGTTGGGCTTAGCCATGCTAGGACAAGTGGGTTCTGATGGGCAGAGCGGAGGAGGCAGGCACAAGAGAGACCAGAGATGGGGAGGGGTGAGGGATCAGAAAGGGGACTGGGGAGAGGGGGACAGGGCATCTTGGAAAAGTCTAGTACCTCACACATAGTATATGTTTTGATGGGCCATCTAGAGTTTTTAATTTCGAGAGCTTTGGATGACAGGCCAGGAGGATGAGGATGAGGATATCACCAGCTATGCGCTGGGCCCCAGGCTAAGCTTCACACTTACGCTTTTTGTCTTCGCAACACCTGTGAGACGTATGCTGTTGTCATCCTTTTCCCAGATGTGGAAACACAGACTCAGGGAGAGTAAGTCCCTGTGTGAGGTCTCAGAGCTGGTAAGTGACAGAGTTAGGACTGAAACACGGGCAGTCTGTCTGCAGAGCCTACTCTCCTCCCCTCTGCCCTGTCGTGGCCCAGTCAGAGGAGAGAAGACATGTGATCTGGCAGGAGAGTCATGGGCTCGAATCCAGGGCAGGCCGGAAACAGGACAGCCACCCTCCCTGCGCACAGTGGTCTCATGGTGCCTGGAGTGATGCTGCTTCTCTGTTCCTCCCTCCCAGATGGGACCCAGCAGACCCCTACCCACCTTCCCCACCTCAGAATGCACCTCGGACGTGGAGCCAGACACGCGGGAGATGGTGCGAGCCCAGAACAAGAAGAAGAAAAAGTCGGGAGGCTTCCAGTCCATGGGTGGGTGAGCCAGGCATCTGGGGACTGTGGGGGAGCAGCAGCGGAGGTCGCCATGCCCTCTGTGCTCTGCTCTGGGCCCAGTGCCGTGGTAGGTGTTGGGTAGACAGAGGCAGGAGGCACAGCCTCCGAGCCAGTCAGGGCCTCCATGTGGGGACAGCGGGCCTGACACAACGAGAGAGCAGTTCGAGCGGGACCGAGGGCGATGCTGGTGCAGGAACAGGAAAAGACAGCGGGGATTCGCTCTGTGACGATGGCATTTCAGGGCAGGGGGTTACAGAGAGAGTAGTTGGCGGGGGATTGGGACACCCGGCTAGATGGAAATAAAGCCGAATTCTCTTTCTTGCTGTTTACAATTCAGCATCTGGAGCAAAGATTTAAATATCAAGATGAACATTTTTTTAATCTTAGGGGAAAAAAGGCCTTTCTCAGGGTGACCCAACCACTGTTTAATTTGACTTTTTTTCAATAAGCCCCACGCATGCCACAAAACACTAACCTAAGTTAAAGCAAATGCTGTATCGGGAATATATTTGTAACCTGTGGGACAGACAAAGGGTAAATAGCCTTAATATGCACAGAGCTTTCACAAATCATCCAATAGAGTTGGGTGCAGAACATGCATAATTAGCTCACTAAAGGAATCTAGACAGCCAATTACTATATAAAAAGTGTGCTAAAAGTCATCAAAAATCAAAGAAAAAAGCAAAACATCTACATGTGGCTAATTTTTGCTTTTTTTAATCACAAAGATAATTGGCCAAAAAGCAGCTAAAACCATGGTACTTTCCGGTCTCCAGTCCTCCCATCTCCACAAGCCCAGTCACATCCAGTTTCCAAAGGCCACTCCTTCCTCTTATAGTACCTTATACCTCATTTGTCTGCACCCATGCTCACACCCATCACGTGTCCTTGTCATGTAACACCCTTTTCTCTTAATTATTCATTACAAACATATAAAAAATACAATACAGCATGTCTCCACATCCCCATCCCCAGCTTCAACGGTTTTAAAGTTGGTCTTGTTTTAGCCACACCCTACCCGCTTCTCCCCATCACCCCTGAGGATTCTGAAGTGAGTCCCAGACATCCACTCCTTGTATCCCAAACTACTTCCTGCTTACTTCCGAGACACGCTTGAAACACACACACGGTTCTCAATATCGTCCAAGGCCCCACCAGCATCCCCACCCCCAGGCATTAAAAGTGTTCACATCAGCCCACGTAAGGTTCGTACCCCACAATCGGTAGCTTCGCCTCTTCAGTCTCGATTCTTATCCATTTTGCTCTATTGCATTTCTTGTTTCCTCGCTGTTTGCTTGGCGACATGAGAGTCGCCTGTCCCCAGTAGTTTTCCGGAGTGTGGTGCGGTGGGGCTCCCCCGGCCCCCTGGCCATTCCCATCTCTTTCTCAGGCCTGAGTTACCCGGTGTTCAGAGGCGTCATGAAGAAAGGCTATAAAGTGCCCACCCCCATCCAGAGGAAGGTACGTGGTGAGAGGGCCGATGGGGTTGGGAGGTGGGGGACAAGTGACTTGGCCCTTCTGTCTGGCCTCTAGACAGCCGCCCCTCGTGCCAGCTGTCACATCTGTCGCCCCTCTTACTCTGAAGCCCCACAAGCTTGGCTGCTGCACAGGCAGGGAAAGCTGGGCCCAGCATGGTGGAGACTGGACCCTGGGCCACTTTGCCATTTGAGGCCGCTCACTGACCTCCTGGCAGGCAGCTCACACATGCCCTGTTATCACCCACAGCCAGCGATTGCTGTCCTCAGACATTTAGCCGAGAGGGAGACGTTTCTCTGGGGTCCCAGGGAGGAGGACTAGACGGGGAGGTAGAGTCTGGCTTGACCTGCAGGAAGAAATTCCAAACAGTGGGGGGTGGTAAGCTGCCCCCGTCCCCAGAGGTGTGCAAAGAGCTTTGGCAAGGATGAGATCAGGGCTGGGTGACAGGCCCCTTCCCGTTCACTGAGATCCCCGGGTTTGCCCACTCGCCACTGGGTCATGTGATGCTTCGGCGCAGGAGACGAGCTCACCCCTCTCTCCCTCATTTCTCCCCAGACCATCCCAGTGATCCTGGATGGCAAGGACGTGGTGGCCATGGCGCGGACAGGCAGTGGCAAGACGGCCTGCTTCCTCATCCCCATGTTTGAGCGGCTCAAGGCCCGCAGCGCCCAGACCGGGGCCCGCGCCCTCATCCTCTCACCCACCCGAGAGCTGGCCCTGCAGACCATGAAGTTCACCAAGGAGGTGTGTCGGCCAGGGACGGGGACAGCTGGGCTGGGACGGGCTCGGGCGGGAGGCCTGAGCGGGCCGAGTCCTCTCGCCCTCACCCAGTCTCCATCTCTCTCTCTTTCCACAGCTGGGCAAGTTCACCGGCCTCAAGACCGCCTTGATCCTGGGCGGGGACAAGTAAGAGCCCCCTCGCCCCGGGCCACAGTCATGGCCAAGCGAGCATGTGCCGCCAGGGTGTCAGATTGACGAGCCCGCGTGGCTTATTAACAACAGCAACCGCTCCACACATTCCAGAAAAAACTAACCGGGGGAAAACACGCAGTAAAATACCAAAAGAAACTTCCACACAAGCGCTGCACTCAGACATTCTGATGCTCCTGCAAGACAGCTGGTGGCACACAGGTCACCTGAACGGGCAGCTTAGTTGTATATGTTTTAATGTGCCTGATTGTGGGCTGTTTGTGGAATGCACAGAAATCGAAGCACATTTGTAATAGTTCAGATTTGCAAAATGTCTTTTTCGCGATGTGCTGGTGCCATCCTTCCGAGGTGGCCGGCACCCCACCTGTTTCACAGGTGAGCAAACTGAGGAGGCGATGGGCCCAGAGCCATGCGGTGGTTTGGTAGTACAGCGAAGATTAGAACCCAGTCTCCTGCCCTGCCACCCTCCCCATCCCACAGTTCCTTATTCTCAGTGTCACTGTCACCAGCCGCTCTCGATTCTGAGTGTTTTGCTGTCCAGTGTTCTTCTGCCCACATTATCATTTATTACCTCTAGAGCGTGCATGTGGGCAGTTCCTCCTTGGGCTGTGCCTGGCCCAGAATTTTGGCTCCGACAGGTGTTCCAAGGGCGTTTTAGAGGATGACTAAAGTTGGGGACGTACGTACACAAAAGGTTTAAGAACAAGGACAGAGATCCAGGAAACCTGGATTCTAGGTGCAGCTGGCAGTTCCAGGGTTAGTTGGTAGGTGGCATTGTGGGCCGAAGGCAGCTTTAGTAAAGTCTGATGAGAGGGAGTGAGGTGGATTCTGGGCTGAGCCCATCCGTTTGGGAAATTCTCTGTTGTATCGGTCCTTTTGTATGTTCGAACTTGACTTTTTTGTCCAGACAATGCCGTTGCCTAGAATTTCAGCAATAGCCCTTCCCTAGTTGCAAGCCTGGGGCCAGAAAGTGGGACTCACCTGGCATTTGGTATCGAAAAGGAGAGGGACTAGACAAAGACCTGTATTATGGAACTGACACCTCCCCTCCTCCCTAGAATGGAAGACCAGTTTTCGGCCTTGCATGAAAATCCTGATATGTGAGTATGGATTGGGGACAATACTCTGGGGTCCCTTCCCAGATAGCCGATGGCTGGGGATGAGAGGAGGGCTCTGCTGGTGTCCCCGGCCCTGGGTGACCTGCCCTGCACACCCCTTGCAGAATCATTGCTACCCCTGGACGCTTGATGCACGTGGCTGTGGAGATGAACCTGAAGCTGCAGAGTGTGGAGTACGTGGTATTCGATGAGGCCGACAGGTGAGGCTGCAGCACACCCTGTCTGTGTGTGTGTGTCCCGGTTGGCCCCGAGGCCGTGAAAGCAGAGAGGCGAGGCTGGCTGAGAGGGAGTGGTGAGGCTGCAGCACACCCTGTCTGTGTGTGTGTCCCGGTTGGCCCCGAGGCCGCGAAAGCAGAGAGACGAGGCTCTGCCAGGAGAGAGCTTTCTGGCCGGGATCAAAGCTGCATTTCCCCCGATGTGGCTGGCCACACAGCACAGCTATCACCAGAGCTGACGGGCTGCCTGGACCAACAGTTTCTTTTTATATTGCTTTCGAGAATATCGGAAAGAATCATAAAAACAACAAACACGTCATTTCAAAGATAGGAAAGGAACACAAAGTTGAGAGCACAGGCGGGAACAAATCCTAGCTCTGTGAACTAGGGCAAATCGCTGAGGGTCTGGGGCCTTGGTGGCCTCCACTACGGAGTGGGCGTAAAATAACACGCGCCTCACAGCACGCTGCGAGGCCTCGGGAGCTGATATTTGTAAAGTTCTCAGAACAGGGCCCGACACACAGCGAGGGCTGCAGTCTATTCATTGCAACATGAATGTGTAGCAAACGACAAAACCAGCCCAAGATTTCAGGTCGTTACTGCTTTAGGATGAATTTGTGAAATAGAGGAAAAGTGAGCTGTTAAAGAAACGCGAAGCAAACACCAGCCCACGTGGGAGGAAGTGCGGTAGGGGCTGTGGAAGCCACTGCAATGGAAGCCGGTCTCCTCACCCCTCCCGCCCTCTGCCCTCACAGGCTCTTCGAAATGGGGTTTGCAGAGCAGCTGCAGGAAATCATCAGCCGTCTTCCTGGGGGCCAACAGACGGTCCTGTTCTCCGCCACGCTGCCCAAAATGCTGGTGGAGTTCGCCCGGGCCGGTGAGTGAGCTGGGGGAACAGGACGAGGGGAGGCTGGC